TGCCGAGTTGAGTCATCTGTCGGGGACGGCCCCCGTACAGTCTCGCGCCTCTCCCCAGCCTCCGCTGCGCATCGCGCCGATGAAATGAGGAGAACTTTCTGGAATGTCGCGCGGAAGGTATTTAACCGAGCAGCAGAGACGAGAGATCAGGAGAAGACGGAAGTTGCGCCAGAGTGCGAAGGGATCCCGCCGTGTAGTCGGCGAAGGTTTGCCCGTAGGGACGAAGCAGGAGATGAAGAGGATTTCCACCTGAGGGGTGAAGGCTCGAGCTACAAGCAAGAGCGTGTGTCTACCGCTATCGAGCGAGGACGCGTGGCAACAGCTGCGTGTGTGAAGCCGACGTGTTCGGGCGAAGAAGTTTGAAGCTTGGAGAGTGGCCTATTGAAGACGGGAGGTTTCCTAGAAGAGAAACTTCGGCGAGGTTTCCTGGAAGAGAAACTTCGAGGGCTGCGGAACGACAACAACGCTGGACTTTGAGTGAGTGATTCTCGGAAGAGTATCATCCAGACTTTTGTTCCAAGAACTTTGGACTGGATAGGTTTTCTATCTCTTTAGTCTTCACGTGTCTTGGTTGTTTAATGCATGCGACTGCATTGTAGTGCGTATCGTTGTCTGTGTCCATTGTTTCGAGAGTGGCTGATTGTACTGTGTAGTACGTTGTTTGATTGGTTTGTTTGGGGACATATTGTATGTAACTATTGTGGAGTGTGCATTCTTGCGTATTGTTTTCGATCTGCCATTTTTGGAGAATATAATATTTGTTTTGTTTATCAACTCTCGGCTCTGACTTGTTCTTTGGGCCACAGCCGGCGTCCGCTGGCGCGCCAAAAAGGACCACTTCTAAATTGTCCACGCTTTCGTGGTGCGATTCGGGGAGCCGATACTTCGGCCCTTGGAATTAGCCCGGTGATCGCCTCCCTAATTAACGGGACTGGTGTGACAGGGCCATCTGGCAGTTTTCTTAGAAAACAAAGCACGGGGTTCTGAGACGGGTGTGCGCGCTCATCACATAGGTGATAAGGTGTAGATCACAAGGCGACGAGACGGTGCCACCACCATCTCGTCTTAGCAAAGCGTTGGAAACACTCGTCTTTCCGTGCAAGCGTTGAATGGTTAGCGTAGCGTTATAAGCGCCATGGTCCTTAAAATTACTTTTGTATGCGTTTTCTAGTGAAAGACACACATGCAGAATATATACGTATTGTTATGGTGCCCCAAACATGCGCAATAATTGATTTTTAATTGACAATTGCACAAGCATGAACGCTCAACCTTGAGCAACATTGGTGGGCTCTGTGGATGCGGTAGGCCGTTTCAAGCACCAGATCTCGTAAGATTGATTGATTGATTTGTGAGGTTTAACGTCCCAAAACCACTATTTGATTATGAGAGACGCCGTAGTGGAGGGCTCCGGAAATTTTGACCACCTGGGGTTCTTTAACGTGCACCCAAATCTCCAGATCCCGTTCGGAGTAGACAATCAGACAAATGTACAGACAGACAGACAGACCAAAATTTTTACGTTGGAGGTCCCCAAGAAAGACTATCGTCTTTAAAATTCAACATCAGTTGTCGAAGCCGACGTTTCCACATGCGCACTTATCTTCTTCAAGGCCAGGGTGGTCCTGGCCCATTTGTGCTCAGTCAGGGGGTGGGGGACAACCGTTTCAATTGTCCCCCTTTGAGATTTCTCTTTCGAACGCCATATATCTGAATGGCTTGACCGTTAAGTATAGTGGATTCAGCATTTTCAGTGCCTTCATTTTTTGTAGCCTGTACGTGTATTCAATACCCCCCAGCTGTGTGAGGCCGTCGCGTCGGTTTCAGAAGAGACTCAATCAAACACTTAAATTACGCAAGCTGGAAACGTGTTTTTTTAATTTGATTTCAAGGCATGATTGAAATTTTTGTATAAGTAAAAATAAAACCTACAACAGTCACAAAAACACAATGGCAGCTCCGGCAATCGATATGCCCTGTTGCGATATTTCTGTATTTACACCCTTGCACCCGAGTGCCCATTGTGACGCAAGAGCTGGCCCCGTCTGTCGTCTGTCACATGCTCTGTTACTACAACACTAAACAGGCCCTTAGGTAACGTCTCGTATTCCTGGCGTACACGTGCTTGTAAACATTGTTGATTCGGAAGACTATGTCTCCGACCAGGAGAGAGTGGTATGCAGTACCGAAGCATGTTCTATTGCATATTACACCTATCTGCAGAAAGGAAAGTACATTGAACTAGCATACGCAAATGCTCAAGGCACGTACGCACAAAGTGTATATGAATTGTGCCAGTATAACTACCGAAATATTAGATGTAGTCTCGCTCGAACTGCAATCGTAACCTGTATGCTACCAAGGAACTGTACAGCAAGAAACATGCTAATAAAAGCGTCACACGTAGGCACATGTCACAAAACCTTTATTTGCACTATGTACAAATAACGAAAATATTCCAGACATTAGGAACACATACACATAGGCACATCTATGTGCTACTACAAACATCAATATGTTGTAATGAACGCATCATTAGTCTAATATACATGGCAGACGTGGCATGCATGTGAAAAAAAAAACTCAATGGGATATCGTGATACCATGGATACAATGGTACAACTTGATTGCGCATGCACTCAATCCTGTTGACTTTCTTTTTTTTGGTGGGGTGGGGGGGATCACCTGGACGCACCATGAAAGTCGTTAGTCTAAGCGAAAAGTCACTGCTTCACCATGCTCGTGACAATTATGATTATACCTTTTCTCAGAGTTTTTTCCAGTTTTTGTTTGATGAATTTATTATTTTTAAAATAGTATTTTGAACCACTTTCCATGATGGCGAATGAGGTCAATAGTCGGATTATGAAAATACTTTCTAGTGTTACTTTCTAGTGTAAAACAGGACCGTGCGATGTGGGTAGCGAATCAGTCAGCACTTGTGGGTGATAATTGTTGTGGCTGATTGCAGGTTGTGGCTGATAAGTGGAGTTTGTTTGTTTGTTTGTTTGTTTATTAATACTGTCAACCCCAGCTGGGGTTTTTACAGGAGTGGAAAACAAATGAAAGAAATGGTCATGAAATACGTTACAAAATAGAGACATACAGCGAACACAGGTATTTACACTAAAAGACAAAGTTAAACACAGGCATGTGCACTTGCATTCTGCGCATAGAAAACAACAATTAACAAAGCGAGAGGCAAAATACATTGACATCGTGAATTATGACGCATCTATTTCGGAGAAAATAAGCGATTCTAAAGCTGCAGAAAACGCCGTGATAGAGGAAGACATCGCGACTTTGTTTGGTAGTTCATTCCATTCTTTAATTGCCCTCGGAAAGAAGCTGTATTTAAATGCGTCGTTTCGGGTGGCTGGTGGCTGTATATATAAAGTGTGTTTGTGTCTAGAGCGCGGATCTGGAGAAATTTCAAAGAAATCTAATGAGTTGATTTTAACCTGACTACGAATAATGAGGAATAGGAATTTCAAACGGTCATACTTAGTTCTAAGTTCTAAGGCTTGTAGGTTTGCACGGTTGCAAAGATCGGAAGCAGAGTGCATACGTTGATATTTATTGAATATAAACCTGGCAGCCATTCTTTGAACTTTCTCCAGTTTATGTAGGTTAGTGGTGGTATGAGGGTCCCATACTATTTTACAATATTCAATTATTGGGCGTACTAGCATTTTGTACGCAAGACTTTTTACTTCGGGTGTTGCGTCATGTAACCTGCGCCTCAGACCCCATAGAGTTTTGTTTGCCTTTCTACAGGTGACGTCTACGTGAGTATTCCACCTCAAATCTGGAGTGAATATTAGCCCTAAATATTTATATTCTGTTACCCTTTTTAGATCGTGGGAACCAATATTGTAATTATATTTGAGAGTTTCTTCTGTTGAGAACAGCACTATGGTTCTGGTCAATATTTGGGCTTGGTGATGGCATTTCTCTCCATTGCAAAAAACTTCGGATGAAATTCGCTCCTACAGTAGGCACATTGAGCTTTTATTTTTTATTTTCCACAGGACGTAACCAGCACTTAAACTTGGGCAGATATTCAAACTTTTTCTATAATGGTGATCATACTTGGAAGGCGTAATAATTCAAAGATTGAATGGCATACTTCAACACTTGAAAGTTTCTAAAAAGTGGCTAAGACTCCAAAGAGATAGAAATGTCGCTTGAGTTACTGAAGAAAAAAAACGCTAAATTTAGCTACTTTAATTTTGTTTAAATCCGTCTCGTGAGCCTAATAGCATAGAAAAAGATACAAACAACTACGTTTAGAGAAAGTGGCTAGCAATTTTGAGTACATGGTCAACGCCTCTTCTAGAAAGATGCCTGGGACATCACACGCTTTCGAAGTGATGCCATCACAAAAACACGACCGTGTTGCCTCCCTGACTGCAGTAGACATTGCTTTAATCTCAGAGGCGGCAAGGTTTAGAACGGCCGCCGCAGCGAGCGCTTGACGCCGACACTGTTAGGGCAGCGGAAGAGAACAGGTGAGGGCCGGGAACCAGCTTTTCGGCTTAAGTCGCAGGCATCTTTCTAGAAAAGGATTTGGCTTGGTCTCTACTATGGAAGAGCATAAAGCTGTCCCTAGGCCTCACAGATATCTTTGACCCCAGTACTCTACTATGGGAGAACGATAAGCTGCCTCAGCACAACACCACTGCATGTACTTAACTTCTTTTTGAATCTACAAGCACCGTTCGAACACTTACTACAACCTTTTTTTTTTGTCCCTCACACTGGCACATGCACAAAAGCGCCGTCCTGCCACGTGGGCCCACGTCTGATCAAAGGAGTCAGATGGAAATTGTTCTCCAAGACAAATGCCTACCGTATTACGTCAAACTGTTAATGTAAAAGTGAGCAGTCAGACTATAGTTTGCTATATTGACGGTTAAGCACGCGACACGGTTTTGATTAAATGCTTTCCGTCTGGAGAACGTCGCCTTTCTGTTTCTATCAAGCCAATCACATAAATCATGGCGGCTGTTCTTGGCTACTGGGGCATGCGAGGCTTGGGCCAACCTATCCGAAACCTGCTCGTCTACAAGGGCGTCCAGTTCGAGGACAAGCGGTACAAGTTCGGACCGGCGCCCGACTACGACCGCGGGGAATGGCTGAGGGAGAAGTACACTCTGGGACTGTGGTTTCCCAACCTGCCCTACTACATCGGTGACGACGTCAGACTGACCCAGAGTTTGGCCATACTGCGTTACCTTGGCCGAAAGCATGGACTGGTCGCAAAGTAAGGAACAAATTGACTTCACGAGCTTATATACGACTAACGGAAAACCAATTTACCGTGTTTAGGTGTATGAAAAATAAATTAAATGGTACACGTCGTCTTGTAGCACAGAACTACAATGATAATGCAGGACTAGGTTTAGTGAACTGCTTAAGCTTTGTTTTAGGGGCGAAGCTCCTTATAGCTGCACCCGTTCGTCCCGCGTCCCATCGTAGTATGTAACCAGTCTTACGCTTTGACCTGCAAGGTGGTGCCGGTGGGAAATTTTTGATCTCCAAGGTGGTTCCGGTGAGAGATTTTTTCTGTGCGTTGTTGAACAATAAAAAATAGTGCTCAATACACATGTTAATGGCTGCTAAGGGGGAATGAGAGACAGGAGCATTAAGCCTTTAGGTAACGCGCACGCTGCGATCCCTATTAGCAGCTATTGGCGTGTACATTGAGCCCGATCTGACAAGAAAGGGTTGCAACGTTATACTCGCTGGGTGTGACCTCGTTAGTTTTAGAAAGGTTTAGCGAGCGTTGAGCCGCATAGCCATGAATACAGTGAACTAGTATATACCATGAACTCGAGGTGGTTAAAGGTGGGAAGTAGACCCGAAGCGCAAGCCGTAAGAAAGTGTGTGTGTGCCACCTCTCGTTTAGCCCTTGGAATGTCCACTGGAAGGCGGTGCTTCTATTGGGGAATATATGAAAAGATGCGAGATGGTGGTGGAGTGTTGAATAGATGGACGAACGGACACACAGACAGATGCATGGATGGACGCATGAACGGACGCAGGCGCGAATGCATGGACGAACGCAGGGACGGATGCACGAACAGATGCACGCACGGACGGGTGGATGGACGCATGGACGGTCACACAGACGTACGCATGGACGGACGGAAGCAAGAGCGAATGAACGAACGAATGCTTCGCCCCACTCCCCATCATTCACTCCGTGGATATGCTGCCATTTTTGAGAAATCCATATGCATTTTTTACAGATGAACAAAAACTAGTTGGTGGCAGTTCTTTCTGGAGGGATGAATGGATGGATGGCTGCTATGAGCGTACAGTTTGTAACGTTCTCATGACATGTGAATCACAAATATCAACCTTTCAGTTGCTTTCTTCTTTGCCTACATTGAATTACAAGCTTTTTGTTTCTTCGATATTTCCACATGATATCCTGCCATTGTATGTGTAACGTATGGAGATGGATGAAATATGCTGTACATTTTTTATGCACCACTCTAATGTACACCATTTTGTTGTCTTGCTTCTCTTTCCTCTCTCTTTCTGCACGGTTCATGTTTACCATAGCAACGACAAGGAGATGGTCGAGCTGGACGTCCTGGAGCAGCAGGCCAGAGACCTGGTGCTCATCCTGGGCTTTGCGGCGAGACCGCAGCCTCGCTATCGGGAGGGCCTCAGTTCATACGCCGAAAATATCAAGGACATGGTAGACCCGTGGTCCAGGCATCTGGCCTCCCGTGAATGGGCCTTGGAAGACAGGCTGACGTACGTCGACTTCGTGCTCTACGAGGGGCTCGACTGGCATCGCGAGTTCAAGCCGGAAGTTCTGGCCAGGTACCCGCCGCTCGTCTACTACCTGGGGAGATTCGAAGAGCTACCAAACGTGAAGGAGTACTTCGCATCTGAGAAGTAAAAGAAGTGGCCAATCACCAATACGGTCAGGCTCTGGGGACACAGAAAATGATGTAGTACCGTTATATGGCTTTGTTCGTTACGTACGGCATCTGCTGTCCCAGCGTGCGCTCTACGCGTCTTAACTTTGCCAGTTCTTTTCTACGGCTCTTTTTTTATCTACCAGTTCACTGCTCTTCAATAAGGTCAGCATGTCATTTCCCGCAACTTTGTTGAAGCACTATTAAGCCTAAACCAGGCAGCCTCAAGGTATGTTCAGCTGCCTGGTTGAGTTGAAAATGACAAGGGTGTTTTTTTTTTTGCTCTGTACTAATGAACTTTTTTTTTCTTGAAATATTAAAGTTGCGCATGCACTTTCAATTGATGGGGCAACTGTTCATACCTTTACAAAATCTGAAAATAGGCATGGGTGTGTGATAAATCGATATTTCACTATATTCCTTATTTATGCAACAAACTCTAAAATTTGAAAACCCTTTCCAACCAGAAAGTGCTTATTTCAATTCAACCTAGGCGTCTCTCGTAATCATATGGTGGTTTTGGGACGTTAAACCCCACATATCAATCAATTCAACCTACACTGCCGTGAAATTAGGTCATGTAAGTTAGGCACGTTCCTGGAGAGCACATCATATTTCTTTGCTCGATCGATACCTAGCTGATTGGCCGTCCGTGTATGATTTTAAGACATCACACAAGCAGTCTGTCCGGCCGTGGTCCGATTTTTATTGTCGTTGTATGAACAGTGCTCGCGATACGTACTACATAGGGCTTAATATTGTCCTGTTAACTAACTTCAGCTTAAAGTAGCCGGTATGAAAATTCAGATACCACGTGACAGATTTCCCTGAATTACCAACGCACATTCAAAAGGATTTGCCTAGGTGTACTGCTAGCGCTGAACTCCATCTTAACAGGAGGGAACACACCTTGACCACCATGTTTTGGACGCGCATAAACGAATGTAGCTGCGACGCCCCCAGATTTTCATAATATATGGCTTCAGTCGTGAGAACACAAAAGTAGCCAAGAAGTAGGTGGTACTTCTTTCTGCCGCCACCGTCCTATAATGGTAGGCAAAGGGGCGCAAAGTGGCGCAAAGTGGCGGAAGCTGACAGCTCTGTATGTGCATTAGTTGTACAGGAACGCATGCAGCTAGTGTGAAATGTGAGAGGGAGAAGTAAACGTTCAGTTGTGTACACAGTTTTCCAATGCCAAGTCAGACCAGAGAGAAACAAAATCACAGCAGGAGATGTCTAGGCAGAGTGTGTCTCTTTTGCAGACTATATCTGGCAGGCGAGGCCATCACAGGCGCCAAGACGAGCATCTTCCAATGATACGTCGACAAACAAGCAGATGACAGCCCTCATTGTACGTTTACATTGTCCTCGGTGGGCCGCAATAGTTGGGACGCGCAAGTTACCCAGTTATGAACCACTCTCATGGCACCGTTATCGAAGCAGCGAAGACTGACTCGTACGAACAGGCAATAACAGTGCAGTAACTCTTCAAGGGCTGCCAGCGCCACGCGTGCGTATATAAAAGCCGTCATTCACGCCTGAGTAAGCGTTCGTGCCTTACACTGACCTGACCATCATCAGCGGATTCTGCGTCGCCATCTTCTGCCAACGTAAGCGTATGAGTTTAAATAACGATACGGATTAAGGGTACCATGTGTACCACATCGGTCAAGTGTTAGGTGGTATGCTATAGAGTCATATGCCACATGACTGGCGCTGCTGAGCTACGTGCGGCAGCGCACTCTAAGCGGGCAGATGGTGGAGTAAGTAAAAGTTTACTGGCGGTGTGAAACGAAGAACAGTGTAACGTAGTTTTCATACCGGTACCTTTACACCGTTATCACCACCTTCCCACGGTTTCGTTTTTCTCTTTGCATGAGGTAGAATAAGAAACACCCAAGCAGACGCACATGCAGCATAAGCTAAAAGGCGAAGTAAGTTTAGCACTGACCCTGTAAACAACCACTACTATGCTACCGCTCCTTCCCTTTTGACTATTTGGGTATGATGTCGTAGCTTTGCCGCTACCGTTTGATTTCAAACCATATGCGCGAGGCCAACTAAACGAGCACGCATGAAAATGGGTATCGGCGTCGGTAACGCAGTGCAAAGTTTCACTTTTGTGCTGAAACTCCACTCTTCCTGCTTATTGCATTGCAACCACCAACACCCTATCCTCCTCCTTCTCACTTTGCCCTGTTTTCCCTCTTCACACTCGTCACTGACGTCCATATTCTTATCTATCTAGTAAATTTTATAGCACTCTTCCAGAGCATTACAGTCTCCCTGTGCTCTTTGGTTGACCTGGCAAGCTATAGGTTCAGTCTCTGCCTTGCTTCTCTTTTCTTCTATTCGTCTCTTTCTTTACTGTAGGAGTGCTTCGAGATCTTCGGTAGATTGGGAGAATTTTACGAAAGTTTACCATAAATTGCTGACAGGCTGTGCCCATTTAAAGTGTGCACAATCTACAAGACCATTTTAAATGACCTACTGCATAGTACGGACTTTACATGAGAGCCACCACCTACCGGTTCCGTCATAGGCGCCGCCACCAACTTCAACTGGGAGCCTCTGGTTCACCTCAATAATTTTGCGCACGATTTGTGGCACTGCTTTTTATTTAGCATAAACAATATGGTTTATTTGGGACAGTGCAACTTTATTGCCACAGCTGATCCTCTTGCAATGACGTAGATAATTTACGAAGCAAAATCACGATACCGTTATGCGAGACGGAGGGCTCTGAAAATTTACGACCCCCATTTTTGTAGGGTGCTCCTAAATCTAAGCAGACGGGCCTCCAGCATTTTCGCCGCCATCAAATAGTGGCTGCCGCGGCCGGGATTTGATTCCGTGACCTTTGGGTCAACATTCAAGCTTCATAACCACTAGGCCACCGCTATGGGTATGAATACCTCATCACAATAGTTCTTGTATGTATATATAAAAGTCAGGAATTTCTATTATTATCAGGTAGGGAAGGATTGGAGAGGGGGGGTGTGCTGACAGAATCGCTCATATAACAACCATCGCTGAATGGCATTGTACATCACCGTTCATGGAGACAGCGCTTGGCACCGTTCAGGGCATGCAAACTGTCTAGTTATCAACTATGCCCATGACTTGTTATCTTTATGGCGCCATTCTCGGTGTCGCGAGGGCTGCCAGAAAAGCGTGGAGCGCAAAAGTTACGTTTATGGGCTGCCGGAGCCGCGATTATAAACGCTCTTCATAATGTGCGCGTCAACATAAGGAATACAGGCCTGGTGATCACCAGCATATTTTAAGTCATCATCATCTGCTAAGGTAGGCCTGTCTATTTAGGCATGTCAATGCCTCTATGGATGACTGCGGCAGCTTTTGACGAAGTCGTACCACGCGACTAGAGCGGAACATGGTGTATGACGGAGAAAGAATGGATGAATAAGGGCATAGCAATGAACTCCACGATGACTGGTGCCACAGTGCCACTAGTTTTACCTTCCAACCATTCTCTGCAGCCTTGTGTGAGTGCTAGTTTAACATCATCGATACCTGCTTGTACGTTCGTACACACGACTGTTGAAAGAGGCTCTGCAACACTTTTTCAACGTGGTAAGAAAACACGGCGGATCCTTTAGTCCGGACTCCCGAGAAAACGTGAACCAAACGTTACAGCGCAGCACGCGGCCTGTGATTCACAATTCAGTCTCCAAGTCAGCAAGAAATCACCAACTCTTTCCTCGACAAAAAAAAAGACGCCATAAACCCTATAGTATACGTTACTGACAAGTGGACGAGTTGGAACTGATTCATGATTTTTTTGCGCAACAAACACACTGACTATAGCTGGTGGTTTAAATTTCTTTCTAGTCCATGTGTGTGTTGCGCGAAAAGGTCCTGAAACCCGATGGAGCGCCCTGCCAACCCTAATTCAACGGCCAGTGTCTGATTTGAGCATCGTAAGGTTACTGCAGTTTCCGCGGAATGCCACCGCGCGCGCACTCGCTATCACGTTGAAAGTAAACCTCGCGTTCGAAGAAAATGTAGAAAATAAAATGCTCAAGGTCATGGCACAAGCTGACAAACAACTCAACGCCTCCTAGAAGAACTATGCCTGAAACGTCGCTCTCTTTTCAATTGAGAGCCTCCTGCCAGCACGCGATCTCGGAGTCCATGCCTCCTGCCTAGTGTTGCGACCGTCCACCGCGTGGGACCGCTCGCCTCCGCACCGCTCTGTCACGTTACATTACTGTACCGCTCTGTCACATGACATCACAGCTGCTCGGAGGCAACTGTGAGAGCATTGCTGTGTTAGCAGCAACCGGCCGTCGGAGACGCTCGCCTTCGTACTGAAGGAGGAGGGTGAAATCAGAGGGTAGGGCAGCGCGTTCGCAGCTCACGTTCCAGGCATATTTTTTTTAGGAGGCGTTGAACAGGTATACCTCCTCCAACTTTGAGTGCGCGACACGACAGAGGAGCTCATCAAAGCAAACAAAACAGGATAACACGTCTATAAAACATGATGACGAGACATAATAGACTAAAATTAGCCTTAATAGACTAAATAGACCTTAATAGAGCCTTAATAGACTAAAAATTTAGCCCATACACACAACTGATAAGCACCATTACCTCCCGCATATAAGCATTACCTACAGATCAATGCAATACCTCAATGCACCCTGACGAGCCGACACGATGCAGATGCAGGGAAATGGTCTGAGCAGATAGGCTAAGCAAAAACCACAATCAAGGCCAAACCAAGGCTTTCATCGATGCCCCCAACAGCCACCAGGGATATAAGCCATACATCTTGAGTGCCGAGAAGGAGGAAATGGCCATAGCACTTGCCATCATAAATGCAGCTACTCTTACTGTAATTAGCGAATCTGAGAGTGTTATTCTCCGATTCACGAAAAGAAGTGTGGGACTAGATGAGGCTATAAATGTCCTGACAAATTTCAATGAGAACGACATAAACATATTAAATCTGTTGTGGTACCCCGTTCATGCGGCAAACCCCGGTAAGGAACGTGCGCACAAGGTATCCCAAGGGTTAGCAAAACGTATCACGCTTCTCTTCAAACCGGACCCCTCGAAATAAGTAGTGACCTTCTACAACGAACTTACGAGTATGTATAAAGATGACGATGAAATATATTCTGCCCCGCCGCGGTGGTCTAGTGGCTAAAGTACTCGGCTGCTGACCCGCAGGGCGCGGGTTCGAATCCCGGCTGCGGTGGCTGCATTTCCGATGGAGCAGGAAATGTTGTAGGCCCGTGTGCTCAGATTTGGGTGCACGTTAAATAACCCCAGGGGGTCAAAATTTCCGGAGCCCTCCACTACGGCGTCTCTCATAATCATATCGTGGTTTTGGGACGTTAAACCCCACAAATCAATCGAAATATATTCTATACCACACAGCAATGCTACGAGAGCGCAGGCTACTATCCTTCGCAGAGATCAACCCCTAATACCTCCTTTTCGCGTAGCAATTCTCACAGGCGCAGATCGCAAGGAAAAGAGCTCATGAAAAAAAAGTAAAAATAAATCCCGGCTGCGGCGGCTGCATTTTCGATGGAGGCGAAAATGCTGTAGGCCCGTATGCTCAGATTTGGGTGCATGTTAAAAAATCCCGGGTAGTCGAAATTTCTGGAGCCAGCCCTCCACTACGGTGTCTCTCATAATCGTATGGTGGTTTTGGGGCGTTAAACCGCACATATCAATCATTGCCCCGAATGTATAGACCTCTTTCTTCTCTCGTAACAAAAAGCGCATCTCCACCCCGGGAAACCCTAAACAAAAGCCACGCGGTTCGCTTATGCGCTCTTCAGGTAGTGCGCAAACATAATCTGGATTCACTGCTTAAAAGCTACGCATCACTGAGCCGCCATCTATCCACGGCTGGGTGGTTACCATGGCTCCCTCTGGCATGACTGCATATCCTTGCACCCACAATTCCGGAGAAAAAGGTCTTGATGCGTACCTCAACACACGAGGCTACCGCAAACACATCGACTCACCGTACTGCAATAAAGCAAAACCTATATGAATCAGCCCTGATGAATCATATACAGTGCGCTCGTAATTTATCGCAGACAACAGAGTATGACGGCTAGAACGAGTACGGAGACGTGTGCTTACATTCGTAAATTAAATTAAAACGATCTGAAGCTTTGTTTTATTTTACTTTATTAAAATACACGATAGAAATATAAATACACATTTGGAGGTTCCGAAGGGAAAACTGTCGGCGGGACCTCGTAACGAAAAATAAATGGGCATTACATTACAATAAATGATTACAACCATCAGAATAATGTCCTTAAACTTTCATTCCCAGGAAGCACGTCCAGGACAGCAGGATATGACGCCGTTACTCGCCTACTGGGACGTTCGTGGTTTCGCCCAGGCCATCCGCAACCTTCTCGTCTACAAGGGAGTAGAGTTTGAGGACAAGCGCTACCCGCACGGCCCGCCGCCGGAGTACAGCTGCGGTGAATGGCTCAGCCAGAAGTTCGAGCTGGGGCTCAAGTTTCCCAACCTGCCGTACTACATGGACGGCGACGTGAAGATCACGCAGAGCTTGGCCATTCTCCGGTACTTGGCAAGGAAGTACGACCTGAATGCCAGGTGGCAGACCTGATTTCATTCGCATGTTTTCATTCTACTGTCCATATAGTATTACCGAACGAACGCAAAGAATCTCACGGCGAACTATGGCTGTACACTGTGACCGTATCTATCTATCTATCTATCTATCTATCTATCTATCTATCTATCTATCTATCTATCTATCTATCTATCTATCTATCTATCTATCTATCTATCTATCTGTCTATCTATCTATCTATCTATCTATCTATCTATCTATCTATCTATCTATCTATCTATCTGTCTAGGTCTGGCTGCTCTCCTGGTCCCCTTTTTAACTTGAAATACGTATAGCAAAATTTGAAGCGGGGGTTACGACCACGACAGGCAGGTTCACCAGAATTTTACATTTCACTTTCCTGCTCCCGAAAGTTTATTGTGGACGCCTCCGAAAGATGATACCAGTGACCCCCCGGTACAGTTGCAATGTGACGCTAACTATATAAGCCACTTAGACGGTGACACTAACGCATCGATGCATTTTATAGCAATGTTAATAATTAAGCTGGGCATTTCGAGTCAATCGATACACGGCCGCTGTGGCCAATAATGGAGCCCGCGCGCGACACCTTAGCTGCCAAGCTACAGCAGGAAAATGTTATGAGCTAATACGATATCAAAATGACTTTTCGAGGGCCGGTTAAAAGTAAAAAGCGTGCAGCTTTTCGTCGTCAATATACCCCTCTTCAGCCGAAGACGTCGCTGCGTCAAAGTGACATCACGGCCGCTTTGTGACACGCTTTGACACGCTTTTAATGAATGAAGGAAATTTCAGAGGGCTCATTTACTTTGTTTAACACACGCTTTGTGACGCAAGCTTTGTGATTCCTCTCAGGAGCGCGGTGCGAAAGTAGTCGGCCGCGACGACACGATAACACGGCAACCGCATTGGCTTGAGAATAGTCCTGGGACAGCAACAAACCACCCTGCTCCTGACTTGTACCCGGATATAGTTGGTGCATGCTGATAAACAGTTACCGAGTGCAAGAAAAGATGCAACGCATAAAGAGTGTGCCACATTCACCGCTGTGGCAACGAGCGGCAATGACTAATACTCCCAGGCTTGCATGCACATGAATACCCGGAGAAGCGGTCGAAATGACGACCGACACCGTAGTTTATTTAGGAGAAAATCGGGCAAATTATTTGTTCCGGTTGCAGTTTTGGTCCCTGCCAGCGGCAAGGTGCCTTTTCCTCCCCTTGTTATTTCTTCACAATGAAACGCAACTACAGCCACACATGTGGTTAAAACAGTACAATCGTCGTCACCTATACCTTCCTCGGCTTCATTATCTGTTTGTGTTTATTGAGGTTGTATCAACAACAACAAAAAAACAATCCCAGGCTTAAAGTTCACTTGTTTAGTTGAACCCACGAGGATGATACACGTGGGACGAGCGCTCGATCACGTGTGTATCATCCTTGTGGTTTGCATCTTTCTTTCACTCAAAAACATTTTTATCACAATGCGAGGTCACTCGCGTATGATTTTTCCATTAAAATGTGCAGGAACTACCTCGAAGCCACGGAACTTGACGTCCTCGAGCAGCAAGCCCAAGACCTATGCCTCATCCTCGCCTATGAGGCGGTGCCGATGCCACGGTACAAGCAAGGACTCAAGTCCTACGCCGAGAACGTGGGAGACAAGCTAGAACCCTGGGCCAAGCACCTAGCCGGGCTTAAGTGGGTGCTCGGGGAGAGACTGACGTACGTGGACTTCTTGCTCTACGAGGGACTCGACTGGCACCGAGCATTTAAACCAGAGGCCTTGCGGAAATACGGAGAGATCTCCGAGTACCTCGATAGGTTTGAGCAGCTGCCAAAGCTGAAAGAATACTTCGCCTCCGAACAGTACAAGGACTGGCCCATTGTCGGACCACTGCGGCCGTGGGGTTACCACAGAAATGCTAAAGTTTCATAAGGAATTCGCACCGAACTTGACGTCCACTGCATCACTCTTTTTTTTTTTCAAAATCAGTAGCCTTTCTTGGGATACTTCAACGCATAAATTTCGGTCTGTCTGTCTTTCTGCTTCTGTCACCCGATTAAGTAGAATAGTGAAAGTGTAACTCCTTCCAAAGCAATCAGCCATCTTTATCTCGTTTTAACGTTCATGCGTGCTAATATTGTCAGTAAAAGAACAAATATTACGGATATTTTGGTGCAACATCAGTACGGGGTCATTAGGTAGTGTGTTAATTCATTTTAAAATGCATAGATACGTAAAATTAAAGACCGCAGTGCTTATTACGCGACGGTGGCAATGTGACGATATGACCGAAAAAAAAAAGCGTTTCCTACGCTTCATTAAAACTTCATGTTGCTGCCTCCTACCAGTGACAGTGCCAGCAGTAATTTGAAAAAACAAAGTTCTAGAAAAACTTCGTTTCTCTTAATTACTGCTAGATGGCGTCGTATATTTGACGCAGCTTAGGGTGCCTCGAAGCGCGCGCCCCTTTGCACATGGAGAAAAAAAATACTTCCTCTATGCCATAGCCTCCGAGATGGCTGGCGCACCACACCGCGCACCCTCAATTTCAGAGGCAATGTTGATGCCCTTGCAGGGTGGAGTCACTTTTTGGAGGAGCGAGGGCCGCCTTTCGATCGGCAGCCACCATTCCGCTCCCTCCCTCCCCCCCCTCATCGCGGCTGGTTGAGTGAGACATGTGCGCGGCGTTTTCTCAAGCAAAATACCCGAGTGTTGCGTGCCACAGCACACAAATCGCTCGCGAACGGGCTATAAAATGTTCAGATTTCCGAAAGATGCGAAAAGGCGACTTTTGTGGCTGGTACTAATCAAGCGCGACAAGTGGGAACCCACGAACCATTCGTGTGTGTGCACATGAAGTTATACCAGTTGAGCATTTCGAATGCTCAGAGCCATAACTTAAAGCGCTGTCACACGGGCACTTTTGATCGCGATTGAGCCTGATGTGATCGGATCTTCTACACCAGCTGCAGAAGGACGCCAATCACTGTTTAGAAATTCGATCCCGATCGAGTTTAACCGCCATCCCCAGTGCACCGGGAGCAATACACGTTTATTTGCGTGCTGTGTACATGCGTATTTAATTCGTTCATTTCGGATAGCACAAAATGCGTTGCTCTTAAGCGATTGTTGTACACAAGCTGCAGTTGCGCGAAGATGTGCGCATACGCGGTGCGCTTGTTGCTACCAGCGCCTTCAACTATTTGTTTTTGTAACATGACATTGAACGCACGCATCCCATCAGTTCATTGGCAAAAAAAATATTTTCTCACTTTTCCTCTTTTTTAGAAAAAAACGGCACTCTTTCGCTTTTTTCTTATTAACCCATTAACTTCGTCTACATCAAACCGCCGGCCGGGTAGGCGAGGCCGAACGCGCTTTGACCGGCGAATCGCCGGCTGCCTGAAAAATCTTTGCAATGAGTTGCAGCGCTTGTTTTTTGAAGTTTATTAAATCGTCCAAATAAACCCATCGCATCCGAAGTAGCCGTACATTGAATGCTCTTTGCTTTCTCATCGTTGTAAAGCCGTGTGATTACATCGTTTTAACGATATCAATGAACGCCTTATAACAATTACTAATTTACAACATATTCCTGTGAAAAACTCGCTAAATCTGGTTTACAATACAATACCTGGTACAATGGTACAATAAAGACGCATGCCGACCATTTCATTTGAATCTGTCTGTTTCATGCTGACTTTGTGTAGATTTTGGGGAAAAAAATGAGTGGTGGTCAAGCTATTGGTAGAACTGGAAATGAAATTTATTCGCAATAACGCCTGCAATAGACATCCCCACAATGGTTTGGGTCTCTGAGCCATCAAGCGTCACATAATGTGGGTATAACGTCAAAATTGTAGACATCCGCTGCAAGGGCGCTCGGTAGGTACAGACATTCAGAAGTTATGTCACCACAGATGCTTTTTTTTTCATATTGTGCATTCTGGCATACGTCATCACGAAGAAATCCTGCGGTGTTAACCACAAACAGCATTGCTTTAAAAGAACAAAATACCTTCTAGAAACAGGGAGTCCTTTTTATGTTTTGTCGAATTCCGCAAAGAGCGATCGCAGTAGCGGAAACTTCTAATACACAAACGAACAAATTCAATTGCTCTGCAGTGTGGCACATTTGGTATCAGGTAGCAACAAAAAGGTTAACGTTTAAAAAAATTTTGAAAAATTTTGTTCTCCCGGCAAGATTCCAACTTCGCTTCAATGAGAAGTCAACGCTCGCGCGGTACGGCACTCAATCGACTAGGCCACAGCTAAAAGCATGCGCGTTTAATACAACGCGGAGGAGCTCGCCTTCATAATTGATTGAAATCGGCTTAGCCTTCATCCAGTTCAGCAACCAGCTTGTGAAAGGAAGTATACTGGGGCAGCGAAAAAAAAACTGGCACGCGTTCTGTTTGTCTTTCAGGCAGACGGAACCTTCATACGATGCTCTCAATGACTGCCAGTAATTTTTAGACGTATGTGATCTTACTTTTACGGGTAATCAGACATATGTGCACGCATGAGAATAGCACCAATTGTGCTCTCCTAAATTTTAGTACGCTTTTTTTGCAAAACGTCAACGTACTGTGGCCAAGGTGGCTTAAAAACTACGGTGCATGCGATTGAAGAATGGTAGAACATTTTAGAAGCACTGTCCTTCTTATTTTTATTATGACAGAAATTATATGCACCCTTTCACCTAAATTTTGCTTCCGGCGTCGGTGACCGCCATCATTCACCGTATATGTATACTTGTCTATATACCAAAAAGCAAGAAAGAAAAAAATAATCCAGGAAAACCTCCAGCGTGCGGAATCAAACGTCCGACCCCTTGCTTGTGAGTGCGTGGCGTTAGCCACTTAGCCACGAAGGAGCATCTCCTCCAACGTTGAAACGGCAAGCTATTTATATCTACCACTTACCGCTGGCGAAGCCGATCTAAGGGAACTATCATGCTTTCAGCATTAGTAGCGAGATGGCGTAATGAGGGCGCGTCGCGAGAACGTCACGACGCGGCGACGCGCGCTCTTGCGTTCATGTCCCACGCGTACTTTGCCTCGCTGAGGGTGGGGGTGGGAGGGGGGAGCGGGTAGACGCTCACACGTGCGCACGCTTATCTCGCGGTGGGGAAAATCTTACGCCTTGGGCTTTCAGCGGAACGATTCTGTTGTAGTTACCGGGCGCGCAAAGGTCGCTCCACTCGCTGCACAGTTATAGGGAGCCTTCATGTGCGCGCGTCTCCGTGTTTTAGGGTGGTGACAACTCCGATCATGGTTGCTTACAACTGGCTAAAACGGCCCCATACTTGACGGGCCGCCATGTTGGTTCTGAGTCGTCGCTCATTTACGTTGACGACAGCGTGGGTTTCAACGAGAAGAGGTTTTTTTTGTATAGTAAGCGCTGAACGCTGAAGGGTTGTTTTCTGAAGTTAGCCGTGGTTTGATAGAACAGGAAAGACATGTCCGTGACTCGAGTTTGTATAAAATACTATTAAAACAGTTCGTTTCTCCCACTTGGTAGACCCACCGCATTGGCGGAGTGAGGTTATTTAGGGAGCCTATATTTACGAGGGGGAAAACCTCGATGTCACTATGAATGGACTTCAATGTCTGCGCGCCATTCATGAAGCATATTCACCTTAGCACTGCAAATACCTTAAAGGCCTCTTAGTGCAAGGCTCGAAACCGTGCTGTTTATATGATGGAACTCGTAACGACAGGGAAGGCAGAACAAACAACCGGGTAGCTCACGATGTTCTCTGTAAACCGAATAGCTCAGCTAGCCTGTTTCTCATACCATAAACATTGCGTTTCTCCGTAATATAATTTCCTACAGCAAGTTCAGTTCCTGCGAACAAATCTGTACAATGACTGCTTAAAAAACCGTACAAGCTGTAAGTATTGCCCGAAAAAGTAGGGCATTCAATCACATTACACCGCCCTCCCCCTATGTCCACAAGCCTGTATATTAGGCTAGAAGAAAAGCAAAGGCGAGCAACGAGGGACAAATCAAGTTTTTCCAGGTCAGATTTTATTGCAAACAGCATCCAAACGACATCTGGCCTTGTGTCTTCAAACCATCTTGCCTCTTTTGCTGGAATCTTGTGTCCTCGCAGTGGGCCTAGAGTAAAGCAATAAGACAAAAAATCATACACGGCTCCGACCACATTTACGGAGTCCATACACATTTTCTCTACAAGCACTAAATAAAAGCGGACATTGCGATATCAAATCATCTGTGTGTCTGGTTATGAAACTAAAGGACGACACAAATAACGATGCACCACATAGGGGATATTTGAGTTATGGGCTGACAACCGACTTGTTTAGTGCACATATACTGCTTCATTCAGGACCGACAGATAGGCAGAAGGATGGACGGACACGAACAGTAAATCTGTCGCATTCTATGTTATTAAAGAGAAGTCCTGTTTGCAATTATTGAGCGAGTTTCGGTGTGGTTGCGCGTGTCATTGAAGCAAAGAACTTTTTGTGTGGCTTGCATGGCTTGCTTTTGCGTTGCAACTGTGCAAGACAAGCGCCTACTGGGAACGCGTTCATAGGCTCGTCTGTCTACCTCTCCAAATGCCCTTCCTCAGCAACCGAGGTAAAATTGCAGGAATGCGAACATCTGCCAGAAAATGAAGAAGCGAACGGAAGCGTCTGTAGGTGGTTTACGGGCCTGGCGTTTTCCGCGACGAATGCAGTGACGGCTTCGGTAACCGACAAAGTGCAGATAGTGAATGCATGCAGGATCACACATCCGACTAGTCATATCATTCGATTGAGGAACTGCCCTTCGACTACAAGGATAAACAAGCATACTTAACCATCTTCCGCTCACACAGCGTAGCCGAACGAAGCCTAATTCATTATTATACTGTACACGTCGTCGTGCTTACTTTGCTCAAACTGCTTTTCGTTGCATGGCTAAGTCAGCGATTTCACGAAATGTGCGGTGATAT